TCTTCTTCTTCTTCTTCTTTTCTTCTTCTTCTTCTTCTTCTTCTTCTTCTTCTTCTTCTTCTTCTTCTTCTTCTTCTTCTTCTTCTTCTTCTTTCTTCTTCTTCTTCTTCTTCTTTCTTCTTCTTCTTCTCTTCTTCTTCTTCTTTCTTCTTCTTTCTTCTTCTTCTTCTTCTTCTTCTTCTTCTTCTTCTTCTTCTTCTTCTTCTTCTTCTTCTTCTTCTTCTTCTTCTTCTTCTTCTTCTTCTTCTTCTTCTTCTTCTTCTTCTTCTTCTTCTTCTTCTTCTTCTTCTTCTTCTTCTTCTTCTTCTTCTTCTTCTTCTTCTTCTTTCTTCTTCTTCTTCTTCTTCTTCTTCCTTCTTCTTCTTCTTCTTTTTTCTTCTTCTTCTTCTTCTTCTTTTCTTCTTCTTCTTCTTCTTCTTCTTCTTCTTCTTCTTCTTCTCTTCTTCTTCTTCTTCTTCTTCTTCTTCTTCTTCTTCTTCTTCTTCTTCTTCTTCTTCTTCTTCTTCTTCTTCTTCTTCTTCTTCTTCTTCTTCTTCTTCTTCTTCTTCTTCTTCTTCTTCTTCTTCTTCTTCTTCTTCTTCTTCTTCTTCTTCTTCTTCTTCTTCTTCTTCTTCTTCTTCTTCTTCTTCTTCTTCTTCTTCTTCTTCTTCTTCTTCTTCTTCTTCTTCTTCTTCTTCTTCTTCTTCTTCTTCTTCTTCTTCTTCTTCTTCTTCTTCTTCTTCTTCTTCTTCTTCTTCTTCTTCTTCTTCTTCTTCTTCGTCTTCTTCTTCTTCTTCTTCTTCTTCTTCTTCTTCTTCTTCTTCTTCTTCTTCTTCTTCTTCTTCTTCTTCACAAATGATAGGAAAGAGGAACACGTATTGAGCAGAGCAAAGATGGGCCCAGGATATAAGCGACACCGTGGTTAGGAACGTTCCCATGACAGGAGTTCTGGCAAGAGACCCAGTTTGTCCTAGACAGGCTGTAATGAGAGCGACGTTCTGCAGATGACATGAGAATAATATAATTATCTGTGTCCATCTCTAGGTGATGTCTCCAAACTACAAAAATGTTGGCTGCGCATCAAACTTCTGCAAAAAATTTACAGTTGATAAAAGCAAGTTGGGCAATATATTGCTCATCGCGTGTGTCTACAACTGAGATAAAACTTCTCGTGTCTCTGGCAATGGTAGCCAGATGTCAATTTGAGCAGTAATGTTTTCAAGTGTCTTTTGTGTCTACTAAAGTGTTCATCGTGTCAAGGTTTATGAAATAAAACTACATGTGTGTTGTTGCGAAAGCGTTTCATTTTGTGTACGGTTTTGTCAAGCAATACGCTATTTTTCTATCTCCCGTGGCAACTTATGAATGTCAGCCAAGGACTCTTGCTTAGTTATTGAGAAATTTTTAAAAGAACTTGGAGCCTTGGAACTGAAATGCTACAAGACAATTCTTACAAGACCACGGAGCAAGAGGAAGAAAAACACAGGTGTCCTACATAAGCTGAACGATGGAGCAGAAATGGCTCATAAACAGCATCCTGTCCTGAAAGCTTGGGTATTTTAACCATGTTAAACGTCACGGTAGACTCGAAAGACGGTGATGGAAAAGGGGGTGGGTACAGGTTCCGGAAAACGAGGCAGGGGGAGACATCCAAGAAGGTGGATACAAGATATTGAAGACGCACTGACTATACAAGAGCTGGAAAAGTGGCACAGGAAAAAAGAAACTTTCAGGAAAACGACATTTTGAAATGTACCTATTGATTGATGATCTATCTACTAATCTACGCAAACAGAGAAAGAGAGACACACACACATGCATATAAATACACTTGCATATGTATATATATATATATAATATGCACAAATTTGCCAGTCTACATAATCATATAGTTACGTATCTATTTATGAAAGTACCTATCTTAATAGCTGCCTACTTATATACCTCCGTATCTACTATTTATAAATCCCCCTACCTCTCTAACTATCTAATTACCTTCCGACATTACTTTACAACAAAATATCAATCTGTCTGTGTGTCTGTCTGTTTGTCTGTCTTGATATATATATATATATATATATATATATATATATATATATATATATATATATATATATATATATATATATATATATATATATATATATATGTATCAAGAATTGACATGTCCGCACTCCAGACAGTCCCATAGATAGACATTCAATATCTGTCCATTTTATTCATTGTCGACTTTAGTTCTGGACTCCCTATCCACTTTTGGTGTATGTCTCCTATGGTATGGCGTTGCAAGAATCCTCTGTTTGTAGTGAAACTATTGGATTGGATTGGATTTTTTACCCCACCAGGACATCACACAAGCGATAAACACCCGATGACACAAAGTGCCACCATGCGGATGAGGATCACCGTGGAGAGGTCCCAGAAACCGCGTCCAGACATTTGGCCATAATGATGACCTGCCTATATTGCGGCCCCTGGCAAAAGCCAGAGTGGGGCTTCAAACAACAAAAAATAACGTCCTAAGAAGGTTTACTTGCTGTCTTTTTAAATAACTGAGAAGTATTTCTAGGTTCTGAATTTTTATCTTATGAATGACTTTATTCCCGATTTTATCTTTTCTGGTCACCCCTGAAGCATTTCTCTGACTTCTCATGTCCATAGTTACTAATTCTCTTTTTTAATTGACCATGTCTGGCACTGGTAGAATAGGATGGTCACGAATATTCGTTGAATGAGATGTTCTTGTGTGCTGATTGCGATTGCCTTATGCTGTAAAATGGGTCTAGATCTCGGCATATCAGCTACTACAGCTGTTTATAGTATCATAAACAAAATACAACAATCAAGGTGAACATTTAATTAACCATTCTCGCTTTCTAATTCCAACATATTCTAGGACAAAGTTCGTCTGTTTTATACCCCTTCGCTAACACACAGTGTGATCTTGTCACGATATATCGTGGATCCGGGATTACCCACTGACTGACGCAGTAGACGCAAGATGATCCCTAGAAGGCCAATCTTTGTAAACATTTGTTGCATACCGGGTCGATCACACACAGAAGGCAACAAAAGAATTCATGTTAAAGTCAAGAGGATCGGTTTCATTGCACAAAGTTTTATTCCATAATAGCTTGATTTCTCTCAGTAGAACAGATAGCCACCTGCCGTGAGCGTTACAAAAGCACAAACACCGTAACCTCGACGACGATCCCCAGAGGTTTACGTAAATACTGTATTCGTGAACTGAACCCAAGACCTTCAGAGCGCCAGGAAAACAACTTGACCACTTCACTGCCGGGACCCAGAACAGAAAATATTGGGGAGGGGATAATGTCGTAGCCCCCTTGTCCTCCTCCTTCTAACCCTTTTACAATTTTTTTTTTTTTTTTTTTGGGGGGGGGGGGGGGGGTCATCGGCGCTAAGTCTAGTTCAGGTGAATAGTGATAGTAGTAGTAGCAGCAGCAGTAGCAGCAGCAGTAGCAGCAGCAGTAGCAGCATTCCGAACAGCAAAATAAAAATAGGCAAAATTATGCCCCCCCCCCCCCCCACCCCCCACCTTCCCGTTGACTAAGAAAAACGTGGCTGGACGCAGTAAAAGCACAAGACGTTGAATGCATCACTGAGTCAAATGGTTAAAATGGAAGCTGAAAAGTTGGTGGAGTAGAAGAGGGCAGTGAATGTAATGGTGGAGTTTGGGAAATAAATCAAAATGAGGAAATACTTACATTGAAAATACTAAGTTAAGTGGTTACTTAGTTATCATAATTTTCTAGTAAAAAGGTCAAGACAAAACGGACTTGTACAGCAAATAAACACATTCAGCCAGGCACACAGTAACTGCATAACAACATGGGAAAGGCAGTGAACGGAGTCAAATCCGGATCCGTGATGGGATGTTTTCCTCTTTGCTTCACGGTAACACGGAGAAGCCAAGATTTTCGGTATACAGTAACCGGAACACAGTTACCGGAATACAGTAGGCGGAATACAGTAACCAGAACGCAGTAGGCGAGCATACACCACTTGCACAAACTGAAGACATTGTTGTTGTTGTGTGTGTGTTTTTTTTTTAACTCAAAAAAGAGGGAACCTGTTTGTAGTAAGTTTGTATTATTTTACATCGTTACTGTTGATACTAAACTGCTGTTGTTGCCACTCTTCTACTGCTATTACTACTTCTACTACTGCTATTATATTATCACTGCGATAACTATCGTTCTACTGCTACAACTATCACTATTACTTTTAAAACAAGTGTCACTACCACAGTGCTACTACTAAACTCTCAATGTTACTGTTTTGTCTATAACGTGTAATATCGCTGCTGCTTCGTCAACTACTACTACTATTACTTCTTCTACTACTACTGAACTGCTACTAATACTACTACTACTGCTACAACTACTACTAGTGAATCTACCACTTATAGTATTGTTAAAACTATTACTCATGCCGATACTTCGTATTTTACTATTACTGCTATTACTGTTACTTCTGTTAGCAATGCTCCTATTTCTGCCATTTTTAATACTACTACTATGGCTACCACTCGTACTATGTCTACAGTAGCAGCAACAGTTATGCAACAAAGCCCATGATTGGTGCATGATTACAAGAGCTGTTAACCTTTTTAAAATTATTTGATTAACATCATCAGTACTGTTATAACAACAGCTATCATTTAAAATTCTTGGATTGTATTATTAATTTTATAATTCCGTCATCGTTATTATCGTTATTATGATAGTTAGCATCGTCAAGTTATTATGAACATATAATTACTATCACTACTTTTATATAATTTTATTATGATTATCCTCATTATTATCTTCCTCCACATCATCCTCATCATCCTCATCATAAGCAACAGGAGCATCAATATTTTTATAGACGCCTATTTATTTTGACTATTTTCATAGCTTTATTATTTTTATTATCATCATTAAATATTAGTATGATCTTTGTTACTATTACTCTGAATTTGTCAATAAACTCTGGCAGATTGAAGGAAGAAGGGAATGGACGCGCAAGATGGGGAAAATCCGGTGAGATCAGGGAAACGTTTTAAAGAACGTGTTCAGAGCTGTAAGTTAAACTGTTAGTTAGGTTAACATGTTAGTTAAGTTTCATAAATCTGTCTGTTAGTTAACTAAGTTAAATCAGTTTTTTCATAAAATGTACTCGGCTGCCAGGTCCAACCAAGTCTTAAATGAGTACGAGATAACGTCCTCGGAAGTAAACGCGACCGGAATATTGTGAAAAACATCACCCACAGACAGTCGATGGTCGATAGGTTGAGCACCATATGCCCAATACGTCTGAAGGCATGATAGAGGGTCCAATAGATTTGTTCTGTTGGTTTGTGTCTTCTTAGTAAAGTTACAGTTTACATTTTGCTCTAAGTTATGGTAAAACTAGGTTACTTTAAACTGTCCTGTTGTGTGCTGCACTCACTTTGCTGTTCAATTGTACAAGAGGTCAGAGGCGGGATCGCCTACGCTAGTCCTAAAGGCGCTAGATGATGATGATGACAGAGATGAGTGAAAAAACAGTCCACCCTATTTGATACGTGAGACTATTGTTTCTTCAAATTAGTGGGTGACTACGGGTATTCTGAGATCCAAACCTGACCGGGGCACTAAAGGTTAAAGGTGTCTGTCCACGTGAGTGCCTCAGTCAGTCTTAGTTTGAGGACGTGTTTGTGAATGAGTTGTGTCCAGTCTGATGCATTTGAACAAGAAGTTTTTATTCTGTTGGAGCTCCTATGAATTGTCTAATAGGTTTGGTGGATTGTGATATAGAATGAGGAATTCTGTCTGTGTAATTTTCAGCATGGACGGTTGTGCGACCCAAGTGTTTGTGGGGTCGGCAGTGTGCGGCTATGAGGCACGTAGTTGAAAGGGTATCTGTAAGGGCACAGAAGTTGCCGGGAACCTTGTATGTGTAAATTACCGTAGAGTTGTGATTCCTGGAAATGTTGGAGGCTGGTTAGCGGGATGCTGATCAGTGACACTTCAATGAGTGACTGGGATAGCAGGCGGGAGGCCTGGAGTTTCACCAAGAGGTGCATCTATCTTAAGTCCTTGGTGAAGAAGCCTTTTAGGCAGCACCGTCAGAGGATTGTCACTATATATCACATAGGTGTATCTGCGCGGTCGCGTGTCAGTTGCCTGTAGCAGGCACCTGGGAGGCGAATATTTGTGAAGGCAGTAAAAGACTTGACGGTGTGTCATCGATCACCACTCACTTTTTTCGTAACGTGTTTCTTCCATAAAAAAAGAGACATATGGACTGTTACAGAGATGACTTCAGATGTGTTGGTGTTGACATTGTGATTCTAGTGTTTGTAGTACGCTGTCAACTAGAAAACTTGTGTATGTGTGACAAAGCGTGAACAAAACCTCTAGACACTTGGCAAAGCCTACGATGTCTTAGGACTGTTAGCACGTAGTATGTACCTCACGTTGAACAGTAAGTCCAGTAAACTTGTGTATGTGTGACACTTGGCAAAGCCTACGATGTCTTAGGACTGTTAGCACGTAGTATGTACCTCACGTTGAACAGTAAGTCCAGTAAACTTGTGTATGTGTGACACTTGGCAAAGCCTACGATATCTTAGGACTGTTAGCACGTACCATGTACCTCACGTTGAACAGTAAGTCCAGTAAACTTGTGTATGTGTGACACTTGGCAAAGCCTACGATATCTTAGGACTGTTAGCACGTAGCATGTACCTCACGTTGAACAGTAAGTCCAGTAAACTTGTGTATGTGTGACACTTGGCAAAGCCTACGATATCTTAGGACTGTTAGCACGTACCATGTACCTCACGTTGAACAGTAAGTCCAGTAAACTTGTGTATGTGTGACACTTGGCAAAGCCTACGATATCTTAGGACTGTTAGCACGTACCATGTACCTCACGTTGAACAGTAAGTCCAGTAAACTTGTGTATGTGTGACACTTGGCAAAGCCTACGATATCTTAGGACTGTTAGCACGTACCATGTACCTCACGTTGAACAGTAAGTCCAGTAAACTTGTGTATGTGTGACACTTGGCAAAGCCTACGATATCTTAGGACTGTTAGCACGTAGCATGTACCTCACGTTGAACAGTAAGTCCAGTAAACTTGTGTATGTGTGACACTTGGCAAAGCCTACGATATCTTAGGACTGTTAGCACGTACCATGTACCTCACGTTGAACAGTAAGTCCAGTAAACTTGTGTATGTGTGACACTTGGCAAAGCCTACGATATCTTAGGACTGTTAGCACGTAGCATGTACCTCACGTTGAACAGTAAGTCCAGTAAACTTGTGTATGTGTGACACTTGGCAAAGCCTACGATGTCTTAGGACTGTTAGCACGTACCATGTACCTCACGTTGAACAGTAAGTCCAGTAAACTTGTGTATGTGTGACACTTGGCAAAGCCTACGATGTCTTAGGACTGTTAGCAAGTAGCATGTACCTTACGTTGAACAGTAAGTCAAGTAAATTTGTGTATAGCACTTCACTTTATCTGCATTGTACACTTAGTTAACATAAAAGCTACCACTATAATAATTTTAGTTGTAACTTATATTTAAATTTAAATCTGTCTATTTAAACATAAATCTGTCAACGTGTAAGTTACTGTGTAATCAAAGTTGATTCAAACTTTACGATAAGCTAATATAAAGACTATTTTCAACTATAAATTAAATTTAATGTGGTTTGATCTGAAAATGTGGTGATATTGTACATTACATTATTATCATCATCATGCTTTGTCTACTGTTAAACGTCACACAGAACTCGCCTTAGATTTCTCCACTCTGCTCTATTGTATGCAACTCTCTCTCTCTCTCCCTCTCTCTCTCTCCCTCGGTCTCCCTCTCATTCTCTCTCTCCCTCGCTTTCTCCCTCTCCCTCACTCTCCCTCTCCCTCTCCCCTCTCTCCCTCTTTCTCTCTCTCTCCCTCTCTCTTCCTCACTCTTCCTCTCCCCCCACTGTCTCTCTCCTCCACTCTCTCTCCCCAACTCTCTCTCCCTTTCCCTCTCTCTCCCCACTCTCTCTCTCCCTCTCCATCTCTCTCCCTCCCTCCCTTTCCTTCTCTCTCTCCCCCTATCTTTCTCCCTCTCTCTCCCTCTTTCTCTCCCTCCCTCTCTTTCCCTCTCAACCCCTCTCTCTCCCTCCCTCTTTCCCTCTCTCCCTCACTCTCTCTCTCTCTCTCTCTCTCTCGATGTGAAACATAAAGTTCAGCTCAGCGATTGAAGTTTCCCCTAACAATGTTCTTTTAATGTTTCCCCTGGACGTAATCTTTTTCTCAGACCGTTTCTTTCCCATTTTAATGTTTGATTTGTAATTCTTTGTTTATTTTGTCTCAGAGAGTGTCCACAATATCCATACCTCCTTTGTCTTATTGCAATGCAAACAGTTATTTGTCCAGACTTTTCTCTGATCCCATCACTTTTTAAATTCACTCCATTTTATGTTCATGATTTTTCTCAGTCATTTAAATGCCGATGTGTTGGGAAATGAGCAGGTAGATAGACTGGCAGGCTTTGCACCACTTTGTAGTGAACTGATGTATGACAAGTTAGATATTGTGAGGGCTTTTTTGGAGCGAGTGAACAGTGCGGAGGCGCAGATAGATCATTACGGTCTGAGGAGAATGGCGCTGCGAGGAGTTTCCAGTGGATCTGGCCGACGCTCAACGCTCAGGGGAAGGATGAGACGGACATACAATCAGACGGTTACTGGTACTATCGTAATAGAACTCTTCGCTTGCTGCTGAATATGGGGACTGAACACTTAAATGAGTGTCCAGAGTACTGTGATGTCGACTCCTAATTCAACATTCAACATTCAGACATTTTTTTTAATGCATATAACTTTCGTTCCCTGATTTTAGTATTTCTCCAACATTCACTGATAGATGTTAGAACTTTAAAAACTTCAGACCTGAAAATTCTTGCCTTGGTTATAAACATGGAGCTGCATATTGTGTTGAGGCTTTTTAAGACTGTTGTTTCTTTACCTGTACGTATCATAATTTCCTTCGTTGTATCTTCCTAAGAGATATTCACTTATGCTGTAAGTTGAAAAAAAAATTACTGTAAATGTGTGTTACACACTATAACATGCTGTACATTACGTTATGCTGTGAGTCAAATTATTCCTTACGTTAACCTCTACTGAAAATAAATCATACATTTATTTAAATAAAGATAGCTAACTGTAAAGTACATTAAACTGCAAGTTAAATTATTTTGAAGAATAAAGGTTAAATTAAACAGTAAGTTAGACTATATGTCTACTAAACTAAAAGTAACGTCATCGTCTTAAACCAGTTTTTCATACAGCCTCACTGACGGAAACTGGGTCTTTCGCCAGATCTCAGTCTCTTGAACGTTCATATCCACTCTGTCGCCAGATCTCACTCTTATGAACGTTTATATCCACTCTGTCACCAGATCTCAGTCTCTTGAACGTTCATATCCACTCTGTCGCCAGATCTGAGTCTCTTGAACGTTTATATGCATTCTGTCGCCAGATCTGAGTCTCATCAACGTCTATACCCCTTCTGTCACAAGCGTGTCCTAGTCTGTGTGCTAGATCGAAGATATGATGCGACCTGTCTGTAATTAATTTAAAATCTCAACTTAACGGCTAATGTCAAACTAATCGTTTTATTCTACAGTTTATTTCTGTATCATCGTTGCCGGATGTGTAGGGTTCGGCATTTGTGTGGTGGGTCTAGGGATCGCCAAATTCATTATGGGTAAGTTTAAATAAATGCTTTCACCATATGGCAGCTGATGCTGTCTAGGATCTAGAAACGTCAAGCTCAAAATATTGTAGATCTATGTAAAACTTTCGGGGCTCCATTGAAGAGAAAACAATAATAGACCCACTGCCTCCCCAACAAGCATGTCGTAGGAGTCGACTAAGTGGGGTTGGTGGGCTCCTGTTCTGTCGGAGTGCGTCTGTCTGAAAGGTAAGGGACCAACAGTATGCATAAAAAAGCCAGATCTGTAAAACGGATGTGCATGTAATACCCAGGTGCTGGAACATGACTAAAGTCCGAAGGTGGACGAACAACCGGAACTTTCCGTCCGAGTTTACAGCCAGTGAACACAAAGGAGAATAAGAAGAAAACATTGCCGTAACAAAGATCGTTTAAGGTCTCCTAATGTATGAAATGATTCTCTGTGTAGTATCCAAGCATAGCTGTTTCTTTCATTGTTTGTCAAAACTGACTGACCACGTTGGTGACGTAGCTCGACATACCATGATAGAACAGAACCCTGAATAAGAGGTAATGTACCTCTAGACTTTAGAGTATAAGAGGGAAAATGTAATCTCAGTCTACATCCCATGTTAGACGTTCACTGTTCATTTAACGATCATCTTTCTCTTAGTATCCAGAAACAATGAGTTGTAAACCCTTTGGCTCGGTACTATGGGCCCTTCGGCCTTGATTCCATTATAGGTACAGTTAATCTGGGAGAAATTTGACTTTTCTGCCTACCCCCGGTAGTGAACCCGTACCACAAGGAGTTCGTCACCCGGCCGCCGCAAAAGTCAGGTTTCTTCATCGCACACCTTTCGTGACCATAACTGCTCCGATCTCCTCCTGTGTATGTCTCCAAGTGTTTTTAGGCTAGAAAATCTCATTCTGTCCTGGGTGATGCAACGACGGATTGCTCCCTATGGTTTTCCTATCTCGTTGCTCAAATTGGAGCACCCAGGGTTTGCAGTCTATTCAGTGAAAAATCATTTTTGCACGAAACTGAAAGCTTCCAGGCGTCTAGTTTCTTGTTTGGCATTGATGATGTCTCTCCTGTCCACAGAGGAGACATGGCGTCTGCTCTCTTATTGCCCTTCACACCATCATCACCTGGGAGATTTTGTGAAACACTGCGTGCTGTATCAGATGGAGCCACTGTTTCCGTACATGCCCCGCCTTAAACTTCTGTAGCATGCTCATTGAGTCGCTAAGAAAACATAAATTGGTGAATTCCTGAGTTGTCAGCCATTCTAGGGCCTTTGTCACAGTCATGACTTCCATTTTCATGATTCTGGTGGTAGAAACAGAAGCTCCAATGTCTTTTTAATTACATTTCCTTTAGATCTTGCCGTGAAAGCCCATGCACTTCGTTTCTGACGACACACGGAGCCATCTGTATGTACAACAGCATCTCCCGTGATGTGTGTTCTTCCAACAATGCTTTTAGTTCTGCATCAACTATTGGTGGCACCAAATCACGACTTTGTCTTTGTCAGGCTGAAACCACCACAAAGTACTGCTTGTATTCGTTTATTATGGGTATCCTCTCTCCACGGTTTATGTCTTGAGGGAAAATCACCCGTTGAAGTACTGTCTTTGCACGGCCCAACCAAGACTAGCCTCGTATAGGTCTGTTGCCTTTACGTGCATTCAGTTCATCGTACAAAGCAGCGATTTTGAAGTAGGCACACACTTGGCGCATTTCAAGCCTGCTGGTTATATCTGGAAGGTCTAATAGGTATTTAATTGCTCATACAAGGCGGTAATGTTATTTTAGATCCCAGTTTGAAATTTTATATAAGGCTATAGTGTTACATTTGCATCCCAGGATAAACCAACCGTTATAATCTAGTCATCCTTGTGGGATGCAATTTTTCGGGGTTTTTTTTTTTTAAAGCCCTACTCTGGCTCTTGCCATGGGCCGTAATTTAGCCCGGCCATATATATGGACTATGGCTGAACGCGGTTTCTGGGACCTCTCCACGGGTGATCCTTATTCACAGTGTGGCATTAGGTGTTTATCGCTTGTGTGATGTCCTGGTGGGGTAAAAGAAAAAGGAGATAGACCAACCGTTAGCTTGTCACTCTGGTCGTAAAATTAGTCGGCCTAATTTGCTACAGCAGCGACAAATATAACACCAAATCTCATAATAGCTGTTGCAGAATCACCATATCGTCTTGTCCAAGAGACCGATGACGTGCAGCAGGGGAAGATCGTGGCCTGCAGTCACGACGAGGGATTCTTTTACTGATGATCAGTGGACCCCTGCTGTGCATGCTTCCCTGTAGAGTTATTATTATTTCTATCATTATATAAGACTGCAATGTTATTTTTGCATCCCACAATAGAAGGTCATGTAAGGCGATAGTGTAATTTTACATAACAGGATAGAGCGAAAACAACTAAATCAGATTGACTGTCAACCTGAAGCCACGGGTCTCTTCATCATCCCCCACCCCCGGCTCCCGCGCGATCCCCCGATCCCGCCTGATAACCCACACAGGAAAATTGTAGAAGACCGACCCCACCCCCACACCCATACCTCCCTCACCCTTGCCCCATCTCCTATGCTTTAGAAGAAAGGGGAGAAGAAAATGAAGATACATGTGGAAAATATGTAATTTCACTGAGCAGTGCAAGATAGGCAGAAACATAATGTATTAAAAGAAATGATCGCTTCAATCCCATTGACTCAAAATAGAGGAGGAGGATGATGATGATAACAGTGATAATGAGGATTAAAATGCTGAGGGTACAGGAAAGTATAGTTTTATGATGACAGTATAGAATTAATATGTTAATTTACTAATTTACTGACCTTGAATTAAAATGAAAGGGGTTCCTAACGGCATAGTCTGCTAATAACAGTATTTAATATTGACAGTATATAATCTATATGTTATTTTACTAATATTTGGTTTACGATGATGAATTAGGGTATAGAATGCTATAGCTTGATGATGACAATATAGAAACAATATGTAATTTACAAGTGTTTGATTACGATGATTGGAATAGAGAACAGTATATTTTGATGATGTTAGTATAGAAGTCATATGGTAATTTATTAACGTTGGATGTGTTATAAACACTTGGGGAAAGTTCTGCCTGTTCGCCCTGTACTTTTGTCTTGCTCTAGAACTTGAGTTTTTCGTCCACATCCGTTTCACAGATTTGACCTATCTGTATGCATACTGTTGGTTCCTCGCCTCATAGACATATGCATTCGGTTCTTTCGTAATATTCTATCCCAGATGACGTCACATGACAGTGCAACATTTCAGAAGGTGGTAACATTGGGTTTCCCAGCTTTCTGGTGCTTTTAACAACCCCAAAACATCTAGAACTGGCCCTAACCCCAACCCACCTATGTCCGACAAGAAAGTGCGGTCTAGGTCCCACGACTGCATGCAGCCTAGGTCTCACGACTGCATGCAGCCTAGGTCTCACGACTGCATGCAGCCTATCTTCCATCCCCTGAAATATTAGACTGGCTTGTGACCTGTGGATTTCCCTTGTTTGGGGTAGGATATTAAGAAAGCACTATGCATTTCGACTCTAAGTGAAACACCCCTAATTATTCGCCCCCTGCGACATGCTTGTTAGGAGGAGCAGGGGGTCCATTCTGTGTTCTCTAAACTGGAGCCAAGAAACCCACGCGGGCAGAACAGTATAGTTTGACGATGATAATGTATAGTTCACATGTTAATTTAGTGATGTTGCTTGCCTATTTACAACCAGGTATTCTATACTTCGATGATTGTGGACTACAGCCTCTCCTGCCGGTGTATCTGATCGTTGAATTCTGCATGGCTGTGCTGTTGTTTATCGTTATCTTGGTGTCTGTGTACAAGAACGATAAAGAAGAAAAGTCAAAATCGTTATCAACAACCACCACAACAGCGACACAAAAGTTCAGTATCATTCCTGCAGTCATCTGCCTGGCGTCCGTCCTAGTACCATTGTTTCTCTCCATTTGGTTTATCGTTGGTAAGTTTCATTGTGAAAAGAGTACTAGTGCTTATCGGTAAGTAAGACTTACTGCGAAAAAAAAAAAAAGAACAACTAGCGTGATATTAAGATCTAGGCCAAATATAAGACCTAGCTCGACAATAAAGCCTAGTCCGAAAAGAAACCTGACAGAAAATGAAACCAAGCAGAAAATAAGACAGCAGAAAATTAGGTCTAGTAGAAAGTAAGACCTGGCGTAAAGTAAGATCTAACAAACAATAGAACCTGACAGAAAATAACACCATGCAGAGAATAAGACCTAACAGGAATAGGACCTAGCAAAAAAGTGACCCAGCAGAAAAAAAGACCTAACAGGCAATATGACCTAGCAGAAAATAAGACCTAGCAGAAAAGTAAGACCTAGTTTGAACAAAAGTCGGATTTTATTAATAACCCGATGAAAGCTGTCATGCAGTACAAATCTCCCTGTGTGACATACAACTTTTGTTTTATTTTTAATGAGGTTGGACCAAGCCAGATTGCCTCTCTGTCAGTAGCAAAACTTAAAGGTCCATTGTCCCCTGTTCAGTGGAAAAAAAAAAAAAAATAAACAGACCAACATCTCCCTTTACATGGACACATCATCATCATCATGCGCCACGCCGAAAAGCATAGTCGGTTATCAGTGGTTATCCTACACGAGTCACGGATCACGTGGCGATTTGTCCCGACCCCGACAGAGGCTAAGCGATCGAGCTATTTATCTCTTTGCTTTCCTCTTTGTCCTCTTTCTATCAGTTTTTATGATAGTTGTCAAGTTCTCGAATCTACTCCTTTTCTTGATCATAGTTTCTTTGTCGTTTTAAAGCTCATAGACAGATGAGGCTGCGTGAGATTTCCTGTAGCATTTGCAAGCTCAGCTTTTCCATTTCTAGGTGTCCATAGAAGACTTACAATAACTGCCAGACTAGCTCCTTTTTTATGGACAGTATTCTGATTGTATTTCTTTCCATTGTAAAACCGATGCTGTCCCGTGTGGAGCTTCTAGATGTGGACTGGTAGAACATTGTTGATTTGATACGTCAGATTCAGCTCGGGCCATCCTTCTACTCAGTGTCAAGAATATGGGAATTTTAAAACAAAATTATAGAATAAGATGTTCTTTAATGAGAAGGATTTATCTGACTGGTTATAATATACTGTTATTGTGTAATTAACAATTTGGCAATTTTAATCTGCTACAGTACATTGAATTGAGAAAGGTATGAAAAGTTTGTCAAAATAATATCTTTGACTATCTCTCAATATATCTCTCTTTCTCTCTCTACCGCTGTCTTGTTATTTTCATTCAGTGCTTCCCAGCTGTACATAAGACTGCTACAATCTACCACGCCCCCCCCCCTCCCCCCTGGACTGTCCTAACACCCCCTGGGTGTGATGTGGTAGGGCTCATTTTAGAAACCACTGGTCTGCAGCGGTAAAGCACCTGCTCATTATTTTCAGGGGGTCCCAAGTTTCAGGGACACGTCTCCTATTTTCTTACTCCGAAAATCTTAAACACATGTTAGCAAAGTCTGATGTAGCCTGTCTGTAGTACACCTACTGCCCCTCTCCAGAGAATATTTAGCATGGTTATCCAGCCACTTTTTAATGGTGATTAGTTTGTAATGTGTGTCATGATTGTGAAATACGGGAGTTTAGTTGGTAATCAAGTAATTAGTTAGATTATAAGTTTGGTAGTTAGACAGTTATTTAGTCAGTTCGCTAATTAGATAATCAGTCGGTTAGTTTGTTGATTGGTTAGCTCGCTGGTTAGTTAGTTAGTTACTTTAGTAAGTTAGTTAGGTATAGTTGGTCAGTCAGTCAGTCAGTTAGTTAGTTAATTAGTTAGTTAGGTAGTTAGTTGGCTAGTTAGTTAGTTTGTTAGTTAGGTAGGTATGTAGGTAGGTAGTTAGCTAGCTAGTTGGTGAGTTAGTTAGTTATTTGGTTAGTTGGTTAGTTAGTTAGTTAGTTAGTTGGCTATCTAGTTAGTTAGTTGTCTAGTTAGTTATGTTGGTAGTTATGTAGTTAGCTAGTTAGTTAGTTAGTTAGTTAGTTAGTTAGTTAGTTAGTTAGTTAGTTAGTTAGTTAGTTAGTTAGTTAGTTAGTTAGTTAGTTAGTTAGTTAGTTAGTTAGTTAGTTAGTTAGTTAGTTAGTTAGTTAGTTAGTTAGTTAGTTAGTTAGTTAGTTAGTTAGTTAGTTAGTTAGTTAGTTAGTTAGTTAGTTAGTTAGTTAGTTAGTTAGTTAGTTAGTTAGTTAGTTAGTTAGTTAGTTAGCTAGCTAGCTAGTTAGTTAGTTAGTTAGTTAGTTAGTTAGTTAGTTAGTTAGTTAGTTAGTTAGTTAGTTAGTTAGTTAGTTAGTTAGTTAGTTAGTTAGTTAGTTAGTTAGTTAGTTAGTTAGTTAGTTAGTTAGTTAGTTAGTTAGTTAGTTAGTTAGTTAGTTAGTTAGCTGGCTAGTTAGCTGGCTAGTTAGTTAGTTGAATGACTGACACACGTTTATTCCGTTTGCAGTCACCTTTAAAGTATACAGTCTCACAGGCATACAATCTTAGTCCTTTGGTTTTATCAATGTAGAAAGCATATTTGTGTATACATTTTCTCCTTGAACCTTTTAACAGGCACGGTCTGGGTGGTGGACGTGAGGGCAGAAATAAGAGCGCCAGGACACTGCAGACACTCAACAGCTGCAACAACATTCCCGACAGCATCCTCGTGGAGTAGTACCTACACCAGCATGAACACTCAGAACCCAGCATCTACTGGGAATAATATTAGCTCAATTCCAAACGTCACTAGTCTGAATGAAATTAATACGACGTCTGCGGCCAGGGCTGAATGTTCATCGTGTGACGAAACATTCGTTGAATTCACTTTTGGTGTTATCATTGCGCAGTGGGTGATTTTTGGCGCTCTCTTGATGATTGTGATAGTTGCTTTGGTAACTTTGGGCTTCCTCCTCTGCCTCTGTAAAGCAGTTAACGGATGAGATGTTAAACGTACATCATAGCTTCGTATGCGCCGAAGTTACAACGGGTAGTCGCCTATCAGTTAAACATTTCTACCAGACTGGGTACATTCACTTTAGCTCACCCAAAAACAAGGGGAATCCATGGAATCTCCAAGAAAGTCCAATATTATAGGGGTGTTTGTGTTGGTGTTAGGGTTAATCGGTGCTCATATCAAACTGTAAACCCCTATAATATTGGACTTTCCCTGAGATTCAGGGGTTCCACGTGTTTGGGGTGAGCTAAAATAAAAGTAACCTGTATGTGTGAGTGTTTGTGTGTGTGTTCGTATGACCCAGTCGGTATAGATTTGTTTCTAATGTTAACGATGCCATTATGTTCTCTGAATGAATACTCATGTCGTTTGTATTAGGCTTCTTCTAATAAACTTAAAATATAATGATGTCAACGCTCGTACATTTGTAGTTTACCCTGATATACATGAAACAGGAGCAGCCAGGTCTAGGATACCTACAAAAGAAGATAATACTTAGATCGAGGGAAGCCATTAGAACGCAGTGGAACTAATCTCATCCCGGACACACTCCTGGAGATCTAACTTCTTCAAACGAAAAAAAAACAGACCATTATATTTAGACTGCGTACTTAGCAAAACGAACTCTATAGCCATATCTATGCACATAATTCAAGATTGGGGATTTAGAACTTTGCCCATGTAGACACCAAGATTGGATTCAGAATTTTGCTCAGTGGACACCTGGATTAGCAATTCAGAACTTTGCCCATGTGGACACCAAGATTAGCGATTCAGAACTTTGTCCATGTGGACTCTAAGATTAGCGATTCAGAACTTTGCCCATGTGGACACCAAGATTAGCGATTCAGAACTTTGCCCATGTATACATCAAGATTAGCGATTCAGAACTTTGCTCAGTGGACACCAAGATTAGCGATTCAGAACTTTGCCCATGTAGACACCAAGATTAGCGATTCAGAACTTTGCCCATGTATACATCAAGATTAGCGATTCAGAACTTTGCCCATGTATACATCAAGATTAGCGATTCAGAACTCTGCTCAGTGGACACCAAGATTAGGGATTCAGAACTTTGCTCAGTGGACACCAAGATTAGCGATTCAGAACTTTGCCCATGTATACATCAAGATTAGCGATTCAGAACTTTGCCCATGTATACATCAAGATTAGCGATTCAGAACTTTGCCCATGTATACATCAAGATTAGCGATTCAGAACTTTGCTCAGTGGACCCCAAGATTAGGGATTCAGAACTTTGCTCAGTGGACACCAAGATTAGCGATTCAGAACTTTGCCCATGTATAAATCAAGATTAGCGATTCAGAACTTTGCCCATGTATACATCAAGATTAGCGATTCAGAACTTTGCCCATGTGGACACCAAGATTAGCGATTCAGAACTTTGCCCATGTATACATCAAGATTAGCGATTCAGAACTTTGCCCATGTGGACTCCAAGATTAGCGATTCAGAACTTTGCCCATGTGGACTCCAAGATTAGCGATTCAGAACTTTGCCCATGTGGACTCCAAGATTAGCGATTCAGAACTTTGCCCATGTGGACTCCAAGATTAGCGATTCAGAACTTTGCCCATGTGGACACCAAGATTAGCGATTCAGAACTTTGCCCATGTATACATCAAGATTAGCGATTCAGAACTTTGTCCATGTATACATCAAGATTAGCGATTCAAAACTGTCCTCATGTGGACACCAAGATTAGCGATTTAGAACTTTGCCCATGTGGACTCCAAGATTAGCGATTTAGAACTTTGCTCATGTGGACACCAACATTAGCGATTCAGAACTTTGCCCATTTGGACTCCAAGATTAGCGATTCAGAACTTTCCTCATGTGAACACCAAGATTAGCGATTCAGAACTTTCCTCATGTGAACTCCAAGATTAGCGATTTAGAACTTTGCTCATGTGGACAGCAACATTAGCGATTCAGAACTTTGCCCATGTGGACTCCAAGATTAGCGATTCAGAACTTTGCCCATGTGGACACCAAGATTAGCGATTCAGAACTTTGCCCATGTATACATCAAAATTAGCGATTCAGAACTTTGCCCATGTATACATCAAGATTAGCGATTCAGAACTGTCCTCATGTGGACACCAAGATTAGCGATTCAGAACTTTGCCCATGTGGACTCCAAGATTAGCGATTCAGAACTTTCCTCATGTGGACACCAAGATTAGCGATTCAGAACTTTCCTCATGTGAACTCCAAGATTAGCGATTTAGAACTTTGCTCATGTGGACACCAACATTAGCGATTCAGAACTTTCCTCATGTGAACTCCAAGATTAGCGATTTAGAACTTTGCTCATGTGGACACCAAGATTGGCGATTCAGAACTTTGCCCATGTATACATCAAGATTAGCGATTCAGAACTTTCCTCATGTGAACTCCAAGATTAGCGATTCAGAACTTTGCTCATGTGGACACCAAGATTAGCGATTCAGAACTTTGCCCATGTGGACACCAAGATTAGCGATTCAGAACTTTGCCCATGTAGACACCAAGATTAGCGATTCAGAAGTTTGCCCATGTATGCATCAAGATTGGCGATCCATAGCTTTGCTTATGTGGGCAGGAAACATACAATACTTAACATGTTCTACAGACATGATCTCTACATGCGGTAAAGGAGTCCCAGGTTTGGCCGGTTGGCTTTTCATTGGGAACCAAGATGTATGAAACAGTGGAAGTCAAGTTCTCACCCCAGACTCCAAAGAGGCATGTGGCCTTCTCATCTAAAAATCCAGTGGTAAGGCGTGCGGAAAGAAGAAGACCGTATACAACTTGCAGGCTAGCCACAGGGGTGTAGCAGCTTGACGTTCGCCTGCCTGTCAAAAGATCTTGGGATCAAATCCGCGTCGTGTCGGATTTGTTTTTATGATGACTTTGGCTTCCAGGTCGACTAGGCCTAAAATAGCTACCAGGTAAAATCCAGGGAAGTAAATGCAGTCTGTGTCACGTTGATGACATCACCTGCCGAGTACCGGTTGATCTATAACAGTATGTGTCTAGTCTCACATGCCTAATGCGCCACTAGGGTGGCTAAAAAGGTCATCTACCTTCTTCTTTTTCTTCTTCGTCTTCTTCTTCTTCTTCTTCTTCTTCTTCTTTCTTCTTCTTCTTCTTCTTCTTCTTCTTCTTCTTCTTCTTCTTCTTCTTCTTCTTCTTCTTCTTCTTCTTCTTCTTCTTCTTCTTCTTCTTCTTCTTCTCCTTCTTCTTCTTCTTCTTCTTCTTCTTCTTCTTCTTCTTCTTCTTCTTCTTCTTCATTTTCTTCTTCTTCTTTTTCTACTTCTTCTTTTTCTACTTCTTCTTTTTCTACTTCTTCTTTTTCTTCTTCTTCTTCTTCTTCTTCTTCTTCTTCTTCTTCTTCTTCTTCTTCTTCTTCTTCTTCTTCTTCTTCTTCTTCTTCTTCTTCTTCTTCTTCTTCTTTTTCTTTTTCTTTTTCTTCTTCTTCTTCTTCTTCTTCTTCTTCTTCTTCTTCTTCTTCTTCTTCTTCTTCTTCTTCTTCTTCTTCTTCTTCTTCGTCGTCGTCGTCGTCTTCTTCTTCTTCTTTTTAGCGTTCACTGGCTGTAAACTCCTTGCTCACAACACATTCTTTTAAAAAAAAGTCGTTTAGAGAAAAAACGTTGTACAGCCCGTTGGAAGCGCTAAGAAATCTCGCAGCCGAACGAGGTGTGGTGATTTTCGTGAAGAGTACCGTATATTGTTAAATATATAGTTAAATGGTCTCTAAACTATACACGTTAGGTAACTGTGTAGGTAGTTAGCAAGGTAGATAAGTAGACTGAAAAGTATAAGATAGTCAGATAAATTCAGATAAACACAAAGCATAAAATACATAGCAATATTGCAACATAAAACAAGTAAAGATATCTTTTCAAACCTTTAGGCGCATTGGGCTTATGGAAAGAGCACCTATATTTTTACAGACCAAATTTTGTAACATAGTTATGTATTTGATACAATATATACGCCTACATTAAAGATAACTTACAAGAAATTAAAACACCAAATTGAAAATTTTAATAGTGGGACGACACTGTGCAGTTGTCTGCTCTTTATTCAAGAAACAAACAGATCATGGCGTGTCTGTGCGGGTAAGACTTTGATCCAAATTTGAGACTTTCGCAGAATTGATACCCGCAGCCAACAGATTTATACTTTGGTGACACCGCGTGCGAAGAAAGACACCGAAAATTATTTGTATTAGAGTTGTCAATATTTTATAAAAGAAGCCGACAATTGTTAGGTGATGTCGGCAGGACCGCACAAAATGCAACGGAATTGGAGAATAGAGTGCGAGCCATGTGTGACATATGATGGACAACAGGACAACGGTGATGATGATAATGACGATGATGATGATGAGGATAATGATGAGGAGGACGATGATGTTGAGGAGGAGGATGATAATGACGATAATGAAACATCGTTGGGATTCCAATGTGGCGCAGTGGCTAGTCACTTGTTTAAGTATGTAGGTTCAGACCCAAATGGAGGCGAGTTGTTTAGTTGCATATCCTTTGCAAAGCCACGGAAACCATAAGCATAACTTTTTTTAAAACCCTTATGTGATTTTTTAGAGAGACCCAGCTTTAAATATGTGCAACGTAAAGACCTAGGAAGCAAAGGCGGCCAGTGTTATGTTGACCACAAAATCCACCGCGTACCAACTGGTCTATAAAATATATGTAAAACTATACGGCCAGTATACCTGAGGATGTGAGATACGGTCCTTTCTTCTTCTTCTGCCTTTCTATCCCCCAATTGAGCATAGGCCCTCAACCAACCTACGCCAAGTCGTTCTATCTTTCGCCATTACATGGAGCTCTCCCCATGTCCTCCCCATCTTTCTAACTTCATTCTCCAGCTCTCTTCTCTGTGTGTTTTTGACCTTCCTTTATTACTATGCCCCTGTGGGTTCCAATGCAAAGACACTCTAGTTATTCTGCTTTC